TATGACGGTTCGAAAGCAAGTAACAACAAAAATTGCAACAATAAGTTTTACTTAACTAAGTATTATAACTTAAAGGGCTTCTACTCTATCAAAACAATTATAAAGTTACTAAATACTAAATGTTCAGTGTTCAAAATGTTCAATGTTCACTATGTCACCTGGTAGAATCTTTACATGTACGTCTTTGCTGTGCAAATATCCGAAGTCCAAGTTTAACCCGCTAACAGGAGTTGCTAACTGACGAGGTACTTGTTTTTCAACTTCTCCCGATAAACGACGCTTCTCGTTTTGAATGATTCCGAGACAATGCGTTATGTAATCCTTTTGTACGTTAATCCCTAATCGTCACACACTGTTTAGTAGTAGTAAGGGATTACAAAAAATATATGTCTGGTCTACCTTTAAAKAATTATTTTTATTGCTTACCTCCTTGGATGACATCAAAGTCGACCATTTCAATGCTGCTGTGGCTTGCCAGCGTRCATTGACCGAGCTTGGCATTTTTGTGGCCATCTCCTGACTTCAATCCCTTCAGGATGATTGTCCCACTCCTTGGCATTTTTGTCAGATCGCTCAAGAAGTGTGCCTGGTGCTTTACTTTGCACCCATCCTTTCTACAACCAGCCTGCTCCAAAACTCTCTTCATTGTAGATTGTTTTAGGTTAGTTGTTTTGTTCCCCAACAAAAATTTATTAGTTGAGATGGCCAAGCAGTGTTGCTTGGTCTCGCTGCATTGCACATTTAGATTGATACACTGGACAGCCTATAGAACAAAAAAGCATGATTAGTAAATGACAATATAAAAAGATCTAGCCTGCATGGCTGGCTCTTGGTAAAGAACAAGGAGACGGAAAGGAAAGCCTGATAACAAACCCCACTTTTTGTGAACCTGAAGCCACTAGAGGCCACATGCTCCTATTGGTCAAAATGAAGCATGACGCTGTAAATCATACAATGTATGATATTCCAAACAGGAATTTTTTTAAGTACCAATATTCTGAAGTAGAAAAAATACGGCAAATATTACACCTATCCACAAAGAAAACTACCAATTTTTGAAAACGTGGCACAAAGATGCTGTTTAAGCTAATTTTATTACCAAAAAATATATTTTTACAATCCATTACAAGTAGTTATCTAATGGTAAAAAATTACATGTCCTTGGAAATTTTGATGTGCACATTTTCTTCTGTTGAAATTACTTCGGTTCATACCAAATTATTTTTTCTGGACACATGGTAACAATTCGATCAATTAACCGAAACAACTTGCAATTTAATTCAAGCAATCTTAAAAAGATTGTCCACCTAAAAAAGAAATTTTCCTGTACATTTTATATAGGAAATATAGTTATATTTTGGTGAAAAACCTCTTCATGACGGGTTTTCAATGTGTTTAACACTTGATATATAGTGTTACACCATTGTGCATTAAAATACTTGCCTTAGTCATGTATAAACCTACTGTATTTTAAACAAAAAATAATATCCTAAAGTAATAATATGTTACAAAAGCAAGGTTGGAAGTTTGAAATATTAATCATATGCAAATGTGTCCATAATTATTATTTAATACTTCWGTTACTACTTCTTCACTCAGTTTCCTCCTCCACTTTAGTTAACTGCCTCGCTTTATCCAAAAATTGGCTTGTTTTTTAACCATCTTTATAAATCCCAACCATGTTGGCCTTTAACTTGAATGCTGTGTTCAAGAGGTGCAGTGATTCTGACAAAAAGGTAAATAAAAAAAAGAAAAAATAATTACAAAATGTATTCACGAGCACAGCAATACCAGTTTTTAAAGTTATTGGGCATTTCAGTGCCAATGACTCCATTTTAACAAACAATCAAATTGTTCAGTTTGCATTTAATTTAATGCCTATAGTGTTGTTGAGTACATCTAATTAAATCCTTGACAAGAGTACAGTGATTTGTACAAATTTAATCAGCGTTTACAGATTAAGTGCTGTTTAATAAGAAATATAGCAAAATTAGAAAATGGTGGGGAGAAGGGTTGACATCCTTGTAACAGAGCTAACGGTGCAACCCGGCTAAATAAAATTATCTTATTTTAGTTATTTTTAGTAAACAAGTCCTCATTCTTTTTTATTTTTGTGTCGGCTTTATTATACCTTTATTGCTTCCTATTTCAATGACTGTTCCATGCACAGGAAGGAAGTTTTGCACAAGTTGAGTCATTAATGACTCTTCTGACTCTACAATTATGAAGTCCAGGCATTTGATGTGAGGTCTACCAACGATAATCATTTGGAACACCTCAGTTGCTTTTGTGGGCACACTACCTACAAAAGATAAATAAAAAGTATACTAATTAATATACCAACTTCTACATTAAGTACATGTAGAGGCWTCAATGACATTGAGATGCCAGTAAATACAGGCTCAACTATATGGTACTCTTTGGTCATCACCAGAAGTCATTTCTGGTATGTTATAGCGATGCTCACACTGAAGTCATGACAATAGATCATAGTATTAGCTTTCGGAACAAAAAGTTAAATATAAAGTTCATAAAAAGATGCTTGTAAGCTGAGTGAGCATCGCYATAGATGAATCCAACATGCACTGGATGTGTGATGTTTATGATTAAGTACCTGCTCTAATTTTTGTACTTGGAAGAACAATGTACAGATTTCGTTCTGTACCATCAGGGCCTGTGCAAACTTTTTCAACACTTTTTCTTATTATTATAACATAATTTGTGACTTTGTGTCGTGTATTGATGCTTGTAACTTCCCGTGTTAACATTGCAACAGAATCATCAGTCCATTCCTGTCAAAGAAGATAGGATTGTGTATTAGAATGAAACTTTGACATAAAAAAAATGATTTAAGTCATCAGGACTAATTTTGGACCAAAAGTTGGGAGTAGGTGGTGGGGGAGGGGAAAAAAAGAAGGGAACGCCCTCCTGTGGCACCCTGTAATTTTGAATTACGCCTCTGAAGTTGTCAAAAGATAACCAATCAGGTTGTAAGATTTATCTAWAGAAATGAAGAACAGCTTCCGATAAAGGTCAAAAATACTAACCGAGTTCATAATAACAAGAAATTGATTTTAGTGTAACCACAAGTACAAATTTTTTTTTAGCACTTTTCTCTCACATGTACTATCATTATAAACTGGTCAGGACAATGCTCACTAGTAAAGAGYAAAGCAAAATGGTTAAAAGATTTATTCTCTGCCAGTCAAAGTCAAATAACGAAATTCGAGGATCTTTTTAACTTCACTGACAGTGAATCCAGTCATGGACAAGAAGATCTAAAGCATTTATGTGGACAACTATAAACTTTTGAGCAACTACAGGATCCTACACGTATACCTCAACGTCTTGCAGCAATATCAAGTCTCCTCCACTAAATTTGATATCTTCAAATAATGAAGAAGAGATCTTCCAGTCACCAGCCTCTTTAGCTGAGTAGCTAAACCCTTTTGGACTGGTGACTGTCTTGACTGTTGCAATATCTGCAAATATAATATTTTGTGAGATTTGCTGACTTTAACATGTCATATACCATTACCTCAGACAGGTACACTCATTTGTAACTGATGATATTTACAATTGTGAACATGAAACTCAGCTCAGAGTGATTTTCATATGTTTGTACAAAAATAGAYAAACAAAAGTTTGTAAACACTAATCCCATTGTTTTTTTTGTTTTTTTTTGTATTTTGATAAATTATTACAGTGCGGACACTCAAACCAGGACCAATGACATAAAATATTGACCAATCATACTGCTATTTTTTCCCCAGTTGGAATTTCTTCATTGTAATTACTACAAACTAAATGTTCACTGTTATACAGCAAATAGCTTAAATTTGTATAATAATGCAAGGTGTCATACATTGTATCATTAATTAAAATATTCTTACTAGATGTTGAATCACATGTGAGACAACGTTGTATATAGGACTTGAAGCCTTCTGGTGCCTTGCCACCTTTGACTTCTTTCACAAATTGCTTTAACTTCTCTTCTGAAGTCCATAATGGAAACCTTYAAAGATAACAATATAAGGTAAAAATATTATAAAATCTTGTTTTTCAAGCATTGCTAGGTGCACTGCAATAATGTTGTATTAAAAAAAATTAATATATTTTTAACATGCTAATAACCTGGATGGTAAGATAACTAACACAAGGGATGATAATGTACGTGGCTAGTTTGAATTTGCAAGTTGGGATTTAAGTAAACATTTCAGATTTGGATCATGTCCCTTCAAATGCAAAGAGTGTTTTTAGTGAAATGTTGATTTTTGTTTTGTTTATGGTGTACATTATTTTTAAATTATCGACAVCAATGCAATTTTTTCAAATTGTACCAGCTATGTACCTGTGTGCACCTCATCCATCTCATTAGCATACCAAAAGCACTAATATGAAAATGTTCTATTAGCTACAGTGAAATCATATGGATGGCTGCTTAAAACAGTGCCAACCAGTGWAATGCCCATATATTTCTTATAGCTAATTTATTATAATTTATTCTAACGACTACTCAATACAGGATCCATTACTACGAACAGCAACTTTTTTGTATCCCAACTGACCAATCTCATTATGCCCAGGSCAAGTCAGAAATAGCTAAGATGTATTCAGGCCTGTTGCATGTATTACTGGCAAATGTCTTCCWAATACATGTGAAAACATCCAGGTAGGAAACAAATATATGACAAGTATATGACTTGCACATTTACCTTTCTTTGACATCTTTAAAAGAGCGGAGCCCAGCCGACTTTGTGAATTCATTCTTTAGACAATTCATACTTTTCCACTCTTCTGCACGTTCTTTCATTTCTTTGAAAGAAATTTCCTGCTTCTGGACACTTGTTAAAAGCTCCTTTATGAATTCATTGGGTAGGTTCCGTATGCACTTAAATTTAGACCCAGTAAGGTTGGGTTTTTGCGTTACGCCATTGACAAGGTTTGCTGTATACTTTGTGCTTGGTGCTTGTCCTTTAAGCTGAAATTGCTCAAATCCTTTTATTACTTCAAGCAACACAGCAAATGAGTCATCATCTAAGCCACTTAGAAGAAACACAAATTCCAAGGACTCCTACARCATATCAGAAACAATGATTACAAAAATGTGCTCCAACAAACCATGCAATGTTAGTTAAAAATGAAAAAAATTGTGTTTGCTGATTTTTTTTAATTTGGAAGAAATAAAGAAATTTTGTAGTCCAAAATTGGTTCTTTCTATCTTTCAAGTGGACAAGAATAAAGCTTAGTTATTTCACAAATCTACTAAGCAACGTGAAGAATACCTTGAGACCATCATGCCTTACAGGTCATAGTACTTGTAAATGAAAAAACCTTGACAAATCCAAAGTCAAAAAAGTAAATAGGGAAATTATTCTTGGTAATTTTGTGTTGTTTTTTTTCTTGTTTATTATTATACTTATAGTATAATATTATCTTATAGCACTTAGAACAGATTTGTATTTGCGCTTTATACATAAATATTATTATTATAAAATGTAATATTGTCTCCAAGTTTCTATGAATGAATCTTGATATCTTACGTGTTACGAAATCGCAATCACAAAATTTACCAAAATCTTATAAAAGAAATGAATCTTAAAAGAATTATAAATCAGCAGTATGTGTCTCTGTCCTCTAATATACATTGTACACAATCATAGAAGATGGAAAGCAAGTTCATTTTTGATTCAAAACTTGCTGAACTCTGGTTCATTCCATCTGCCACCATGTTTATATTAGAGAACAAATCTATAATACATGCAGTTGTTTTTTTATATTTACTTTTGTTCAATGCATGCAAAGAGTATTATCTTACTTTATCAGTGCATAAAAGATCTGTGCAATGGCTTCTCCATTTTCCTGATTTCTCCCCCTTGAAGTCATTAATCCTTATCTTCTGGCACAGTTTAACCTTCAATTTTCAAATCAAATGAAAAATTAATTTTGTTCTTAAAGAAATACATTCAAGCGTTTGGAGGTAAATACTTACAGTAAGCTGTAATTTGATCAATAGTTTCTGTTGTTGTTGTTTTTTTGTTTTGTTTTTTTTTTGGGGGGGGGGGGGGGGGGGGGGGGGGGGGGTGATATTGTCAAGCTTTAATGGTTCCTATCAATACCTTATCTTGTGTAGTCATGCTATGGCAAAAACTATCATGCCTGTTGTGCCTGGCTGCCAACTTTAAAAYCATTGCCTTTGGCATTTCTGAAAATCAATTTCATAAATTAGAATAGGAATTTACACTATGTATAAAGCAGTTTTCGTACATGAGTGGGTAACTGACTGCAGCATTCAAGGTACAATTCAGTTTCTTACTCATGTGAAACCCGTTCTCTCTATAGATATATATAGTCATGCTTCATGTAGATTCTTTCAGGTACAATTGCCAGGGTTTTATTTTCTACATACATACCAAAGAAATGCAATTTTTTAGTAAAAAAGAAAACTTGGCAATTGTACCTAAAATAATCTAATATCTCCAGACATAATCTCTCTGCAAAGACAATTTTTTTTTTATACTCACTTTTACTGTTACTAATCATTTAATTTAACATACTTATTCAATTTCATGTGCAATGTCTTTATTCTACATCAGGGATGGACCATTAGATTTTTTTATGATTTTTTAACACTAAGTCTTTTTGCATAATAACTTCTGTAAATGCCTTATTTCAGAATAAAAACTGTCACACCGTTCATTTTCAAATGGATACTTACCACAAAAAAGAATAACATTCGCCCACTTAAACTGTTCATCTTTAGTTTCTTTGAAYAAATCCTGCAAAGCAGCGCGTCGGTGATTGCCSCCGATGACTTCAAGCTGGTATGAATCGATGGAATCCACKTCGAATTCYTCCACTGATTTCACGCCAGKGACGATTGCCGTCAAAGGCTTGACAAAGAGAGCTTTGTTTTCTTGAAACTCCTTTGTCAAGCCTTTGACAAACACATCGTCGATTTCTCGCAGAAGATAATCAGATCTTGGTTGTTTTAGACTGTTCACCAGAACTYTCACTGGAACTAAAAAAGAAAAAGGTTTTACTAGTCTCAAAGAAACTCTGTACCAGCTAMAATATCGTTGTAAACTAACAGCGAAGAAAAGCGAAGACTCATAACAGTCAGAATTCCTTCTACTTAGTTTTAAACGACCTGCTTGGTTCTCGTACCAAGACACTACCTGGTACATTGTACATTCTCGTACCCAGACCCTTTCATCCTATGATAAGCCGAGTGAGTACGATCTGGTAACGAGAACGTGGCYTGGTATAACGTGGTATTTCAAGGTTTTGCGAAAAATTTGCAAAAAGKAACGATTTGTCTTTCCTGATGAAGCTTTTTTTAAGGAGCTGGGCCCCTGTTACATGTAATACAAAAAACACTTGTTCTCTCATCAAGGTCTTGTTTTTGTATCATAAAATATTATTCACGACTTGAAGAGATTGACTGAGCCTTTGATGTGGTTTTTTTTTTTTTTATCAAATCATTAATATTATTATTAAATCGTTTTTGATTTACATTTCAAATTAATCTAACGTAAGAAGGCCGACTATRCATAATGTAAACCAAAATCCCAGTAAAAGGCTTGCGCACTTTCAATTATGTAAGACCAAATTCAGTATTCTTTAAGAACCGGGAGCTGAGAACAGGAGCGGTTCAGGTTTAAGCCAAGATTGATTGATAATTATTTCATAGCATGACTTACCGAGGTCCTTAGATATAAGGAAATTGAGYATTTCTTCTGACAAAGCAGTGAGATGCGTGCTGGTTTCACTTTCACTAGTAGAAACACCAGCTTSGACAACAGTGGGCCGTTCTTGCTCACCAACAGTGGCGCTAGTTCGATTGCGTTTTGGCAAAGGTGYTGTTGGAGGGGACATAGGTTCTTTCCTCTTAGAACTGTTATTACTAGGAACAGTTTCCAGCTTTATTCCATATAACTCTTTTGCCTTCGACGTGAATTTCTTTTTATCCGAAATAAAGGAATAGAGAATTTTGCTGAGATCATCACATGGAGCGAAGTACATCAGGTCAAGTTTTAACTTTCTCTTTCCTGAGTATATGAACTGTGATACCAAAGAAAGTATCAGAACACAAGAAAAGTACGTCCATATAACGATATACATATATAACACATGAAATACAAGCGATTAAGAACACTTGAAACTTACCGAAATTTTGTTGTCGTTTTCTTYGTCGGATCTTATGGCGAAGACACAACCTAGATCCTTGCTGGTACTTGTCTGTATCACTTCCTTGTTGTGATGGTAGACTGTGAACACGGCAGAGTCTTTCTTCAAGAGATTCCATTTCTTCCCTTGAGCTTGAKTTYTTCTAGACATACTAAAGTATAAAACASAWCGGGCTTAAGAATCAACACACTGTTTSCAGCACACAATGCGATGCAATGTGTTATTTGAGCACAAACCTTGACTGAAAACGTCTCAAATGATCCGCGCTTTTACACCTTTAAAAATAACACACATATTTGATCGATTGATCATTGTCGTGCGCTTAAGCTGCAAAACCAATTAATATAAATTTCAAAACGTTAAGAAATTTAACTATTCGCTTTATAAACTATCTGTAGTTTAATAGTYCAACGTTGAGAACCTATCTAGTATATATGTTTATTATTAAATAGTWTTTATTATAAAAGGTTTGCAGGCGGCGCCGGAAATAGACCGCTAAAAGTTGGAACTTCTGATCCCTTGGGATGAATAGCTGGGCAAGGCGCGAAGTAACATGAGTATCAGGCCTTCTCCTTCCGTTTTTTCCCCCCGAGAGCCTGATACTCAGGTTAGGCGCGAAGTGCTGTCAGTAGTTCATCTGTAAAGAAAAGCATCTACGTATGTTGATCAGCTGTCTATATTTCATGCGCAATGAGTTAAACGCGGGTTTGAAACCGCTCAGTATAATGGAGGAGTTTATAGATATTACAGACGATCCACTGATCATGACTGTTACTAGTGAAGAGCCACTAACTCTCTCCCTCGAAGAACAACAAGTCTTTCGATTGAAGAACCACTAACTCTATCGATTGAAGATCCACAAACTCTTTCGTTAGAGGAAACACTGTCAGAAGTCACAGACGAACCAGTGACGCTTTCGATTGAGGAACTAGAACAATCCTTTGATTTTATCAGAGATGACAGTCTTCATAAGGAAGAACAAGAGTCTAAAGCACCTACTCCTTTGGCAACTATCACGCCTTGCAAAAATAGGACATATACAGAAATCGAAGATGAATCAAAAGAGACCGAGGTTTTGGTCGCACATGTGCATTCTCAASTTCAATCACTACCCGAGATGCTTGAAGTTCCCGAGACACAAGAGGTCCAAGAGCAGAACAACACAGAGTTTACTAACACTCCAAGCTCATCGGGTGTTCAGCAAAGCGATACAAATTCTTCTGAAGATGCAGTGACAACTGAAACAACTAGGGAAAGCACAGAAAGCACAGATGATAGTAAAGGTAAAGAAAAGATTATTACAACACTGAAAGGGAGGACTTTTTTCTTACTAAATTTCGAAAATGATGGGATAGAGAAAGCCAWAACAGATGCTGGGGGAAACACTGCATTTTTCTATGACTTACGTAACGTAACAGATGTAGTTGTTAGAGAAATAAGAAACAAAGAGTTGAACAAAGGACATAGAAAAGTTGTTGATTCAGCAAAACACAATCACTTGAATGTGATATCGTTTTCCGATTTAAAACATCTTTTGGAGAAAATACYGCAGGTCCCCCGAAAAAAGAGCGCCAAAGTTTCATCACACAAGATTTCCGTCCGAAAACTATCGCCTCCCTTTATTAAGGTTGAGGATAAAAGCAGAAAGTACCGACCATTAGTGAAAGAATTTAATATATGGCCAAGCATCGATGGAGAGAGTGTAGTTAGGAATAAATCCAAGTTCAAAAGGGAAAAACCGCTGTATTGTGAACATTGTAAGGAATCAAACATTACAAATTTAGAGCAGCATTTAAAGACAGAGAGACATAAGGCAATCGTCTCACAAGCAGGATACTGGGACAAAGTTGATAGATTGATTGCTTGCATTAATAAAAAATAAGACGTTCAAATTGTTAAAAAATAAATAAATAAATAATCCGTTCTGTTTTATCGATCCCAAGAAAACCATATATTAAAAGTAGGGACAATCAATTGAAGTTGAACTGTATATCCACAATACTTAAGTACTGTGATACATTGTAATTTGCTTTTAATTATTAAACAATTTATTAAACTGCTCAAATTGTCATTTGATTTTAAGGTTCAACAGGAAAATCATTTCAACGACAAAGGCATGCTGAGAAAATGCATGCAGGTAAGATGTTTAACCAATTTTCATGGAATAGGGGTCTCAATGTTATCATGATATACATGTACAGTAACATTACTATAAAATAACACAAAATGGCAAGCTTGTGCTCAATCAAAAAATATTATAATAACTAAGGTATTTAAAATTAATAATTTAGAGTGAAAAATATGGGCCCTGATCTCTTACATACTCTAATTATACTAATTATAATATTATATATGTATACTTGTCTATCACAAATCCTGCATTCTAATTGGCTACTCTTACCAATGGTCTGGTGATTTTTTAAGTTGTATTCTGTTTTGACCAATTATCATGTTTATTCTAAAACAGTTAGTACTCCGCCGAGTACAGCCTCATGAGATATCAAGTCATATTCCACTTGGTACTCGAAGTCTAATTGTAAAATATTGTCACTCGATAATTTTCATATTTGTTTTAAACTTTTCCATAAAGTGAGAAAAGAGAAATGCTGCTCACAAAATTGCCTCCAAAAAATGGACTTGATAGAGATGTGCATTATCAGAAAGAATCTATCAGGAAGGGACAATCGCCAACTATGCCAATATCTTCTCGACTACATGTGGGAACATGCTAGACCTGATGAAAGGTTTGTGTTGACCAGTTTGTTTTACCCGCAGACTAGATTATTTCATTTCATTTCAAGAGTGGCTTTCACTACAGAACTGAGTCTCCCATAAGCGGACACCCATGGGAAACGGAAAAAGTGTTGGGTGTTGGATAGCAGAGCTGTCCGCCTATGAGAAAGGTTTTTTTAAGGATTCTTCATATGAAAAAAACAGGGTTTTGGAAAGCTGCAGACCCGTAATTAGAGCTGTCTGCTTACCAGAGTGTCTGCAAGTGGAGATTCAACTGTTGTGCATATAAGCATAAGAAGAACAATTCTGACCAGTTGTTAATCTTCTGCTATTAATATTAAAAGACTCATTTTTAATTATTAATAATTCAAAAGTTATTGACAATAGATATATCTACTTGTACAATATAAATATCCAAGAACATACACACCTAATATCTGTAACAATTTATTGACTTTATGCAAATGTAACAAATTTACTATTGTTTCTATATTACCTTATTTTCAGTAACTACGAAGAAATTCCATATTATTTGGGTGGTTTTAAATTGTGCTTGGTATCATTTCAAAAAGTCATTGGGATATCTGAACACTCGTTCAATTTAACAATGAGGGACTTTTCCAATGGTACCAGACGCTTAGAAAAGAAAAGACCTCGGAACTTAACAGAGAAACGGCTTCTTTCAGAAATCTGGATGGAAGAGTACTTTGAAACGGTAATTTATGGAAAAAATGGAAATGTACCTCTATTTAACGGACAATCTTTGTAAGCAAACAACTTCTCCATGAGACTTTTAGTAGATGTCTTGTACGATCAAGCATGTGGACACAGTAGAGCAAATCCCAATTAACTATTCTATTGCTTTCAAGCTCCCTCAAAGAGGTGCTTTATCTTCAAGTTTTGAATAATTATCTATATTATCTCTAAATTTGACATATTATGTCTGACTCAGTATTAATTTAATATGTGAATTCCTTTTTAAGGTTGGAGACAAGATGCCAAACTCTGGGACGATTCATTTACCTAGCTACCTTGACAAGAAAGCAATACACAAAACAATGAGTGATGAAATGAATGATTCAGGACAAAAGACAATTCATTACAGCACATTTTGCTCCCTTTTCAAACAAGTTTTTCCCCATGTTAAAATCCCTAAGGTAATTTTCATGTCTCTGTAAATCTACTTAACGATGTTTGAAGTCAAACAAATTTGCGCTGTCATTTTGATCTTTCATGGGCATGYTACATTGTAGATGACACAGACTTACAAATAATTTTAAAAAAGAACKAATAGTAAATGCATGTGGTCTTTGTTGTCGAGAATATGAGCTGCACAATTTTGCACAACAGAGTTGATAACTTAAAGGGACACTGACAATGGATGACATGCGCAGTAACAGTCTCACCTCTTACGGACTTTGAAAGTATAACCTTCGGGGTAAATCATTTTGTGGTGAGTTTGTCACACTTTGGAATATTCTAGATCTGTTTACGTTTACGATCTGATTGATGTCGCGCCAACTTGGAGTCATAAACTTGAAAACACTAGCCTAGTGTTTTCAAGTTTACTCGCGCATGTCATCCATTGACAGTGTCCCTTTAATCTTATCAGTTGCTTATGTTGCATGCACTCTGACTAAATATATTTTTTTATGTTCAGTATTGAACATTGTGGTAATGTTTCTAAAGGCTAAGAAGTTAATTGACTCTTGCTTTTTATCACACTTCTTTATTCTTGAGGACTTGTATGCACACCATATGTTCTTACATACGTACGAATCCTTAAAACTAAGAAATAAAAAAAGAGAGTGTGACTGACATAATTATTTTTCTTGATCTTTAAATTTTGCAGGTCAACCGTTTCACCAAATGTGACTATTGTACTGCACTTAGTACCGAAAAAAGAGCAACTAGAGACAAAGAAGTCCTAAACTACTTGGATAGACTGTTCAAATTTCATAATGATATTCAAATGTATGTAATTATGAGCATAATAAAAACTTCTTGTTAAAATACATGTAACTAAGTTATCATTTGTATTATTAGGAATGAAAGAAAAGTATACTATGGGCACAGAACTGATGCAAGAAAATCTCCAGAGAAGTATTTATGCTTGGTACAAGATGGTATGGATCAAGCAAAACTTATGCTTCCAAGGCTTAATGTAATAGCTCATGCTTATGCTAATGCACGACAATTGAAGACTCACCTCACAGGGATCCTCAATCATGGGAGACAGCCCAAAGGATACTTCGACTTGTTCCAGTGGCCTCACGATTCCAATTTGTCAATCAACATATTGCTGTTCGAACTGCATAGTTTGGACTTCATTCCAGATGTCCTATATTTCCAAGTTGATAATTGCTGGCGTGAGAATAAAAACCAGTATATGCTAAATTTCCTGGCTGTTCTTGTCA